GAATTCCAGTCGGCAAATTTAAATTTTCGCCAGTGCTGTGGCGCTGTAATCTTTGGCTATGTCTTAGGCTACTCAAATATTTTACGTTTTTGATACTAAATTAACTTCTGAAATATAATTTTTTATTGTTATTAAATTTTTCAATATATTTATTTTGTTCGTACAGAATAAAAAATAATTTTTAACAATACAATAGACTTCGTTAGGCTTAACATCGACGAAAATTCAACGCGAAGCGACACGCAACGGAGAAAAATTTCAACACGGGATAAATTAATATATTTTTCTTACATAATTGGTTATCCGAAAAATAAGTTATCCGAACAACCCCAGTCCCCAATTGATTCGGATAAACGACGCTCTACTCTATTTTAGAAGTGAAATCGACACGAATAAATTTTTTGCAGGTTAATGGTAGGAACAACTTGACACAACATCTTAGCAAGAAAATCGCCTTGTCGAAAAAATAAACGGGATCGCTCAATGGACTAGAATTGAAATTGGTCCATACAATAAAGAAGCGCAGAAAATTTTATAAGTGGTATAATTGCAAAGACATACTGAATTGACATTGATAATTTGACGTATTAATCTAATTAGATGTAATAGCTCGAAATTCAGTGCAATTCATTCAATCAATTCAAATTCACTATGTTAAGTGGCATGTGTGACACTAATACGTTATACACGAAAACAATGAGCCCAATGCAAACTATATGCATACTGCATAACATCTTTCTCTTATTGAAAATGCTAAAAAGGCATTACTGTATTCTCTTCACGTGTATTCAAAAATTTATGAAAAATCGAGTTTTCAAGAAACGTTACATGATTCTGTGCAATGCCATAAAACTAGCAAAAAATTAATTTGTGATGGATGTCTTTGTTGCGTCATGTCAATTATAGCGAATAATCCGTTTACGCCTACAAAAATATACTGAAAATTTTTAAACTATAAAATCAATAACTGTTATGCGAATAATTAGTGTTTCGGAATTTGTTTCTCGACATGTTCTAAACATTATGTACTTTGAACTGATTAAAGAGCGTNGTCATGTCAATTATAGCGAAAAATCCGTTTACGCCTACAAAAATATACTGAAAATTTTTAAACTATAAAATCAATAACTGTTATGCGAATAATTAGTGTTTCGGAATTTGTTTCTCGACATGTTCTAAACATTATGTACTTTGAACTGATTAAAGAGCGTGTGTGAACAAATCGTAAGCATGCAGCAGCATAAACAAATAGAAAGTGTTTATCGATCTTTGCGAAACAAGGATTGCACAAAACTTACTAAATATTGCAAAAGTACAAAATCATTTTATTTGTCATTTTTCAGAGACTCCTGTTGTCCTAGTGCTGCAAAATTAACAAACCTTTATTTCATTAGGAATTAAATAGAATATTGAATTTAAANCATGCAGCAGCATGAACAAATAGAAAGTGTTTATCGATCTTTGCGAAACACGGATCGCACAAAACTTACTAAATATTGCAAAAGTACAAAATCATTTTATTTGTCATTTTTCAGAGACCAGTACTCCTGTTGTCCTATTGCTGCAAAATTAACAAACCTTTATTTCATTAGGAATTAAATAGAATATTGAATTTAAAATATTTATGTATATAGAGGAGAGGAGAGTATTATGGAATATCATTTACATTTCTAAAAATAACTTTACTGAATTTTGAATAAAAAATCCCAAATTTATCATGAGTACATACTACATACTATAACTAATAGTAGTAAATTGTCACTTGTAAAAAATACTATTTATTTTGTTGTTATAAAGAAAATGTATTTAAAATAACTAACAAATAGAGGGTAATATGGAATAGTCGGGTAATATGGAATAAGTGGTTTAAACCATTGAAAAACTAATTAGACTTCATAAATCATACTTATTCTAAACTATAAAAACCATATTTTTAAAATTATGTGCATGCCATTCCTGCTTCGAGTCTATTTACAAAAGTCACAGATATAATTTTCGTTCTCTCTTCCGGTACAATCACGGTGACCCCACAGAGAACAGCTGAAGCATTGAATCCAAATTTTCCCTCGATCAACTTCAGAAAATTTTCTGTACAGATGATACATTCAGCGTCTTCGTTTTCTAGTTCTATAGTTGATGGCACGAAGTCCATTACAGACCATACATCAGAATGGAACGATTCATCGCTGAAAACACTGGAGTCATCTCTAGTAGGTTTAGGTCTAGAAGATCGGTCTAAGTTTAAATTCTTAACAGGTGGTCTTTGAATGTTCGGTTTCTTTTGTTGTTTTGAAGCTTCTGGTTCTTTCTTTTTGGTCATTTTCTTTCATTTTATCAAGTTATCCTAGTATTCCAAAATACCCGATACACCATCTTGGAAAATGAACCTTTAAACTGATGGACAAAACATTGCCAGCTAAAAAATGATAAAACGACTACAGTATAACAAACTACAATTCTTTTAGTGTACATTGTGCTTAACACCAATGTACAAGTCGTGTGTAATAGTAGATTAAAACGTTTGAAAACTTGCCTGCAAAAACACTTGAAAATCACAGAACACACTTTATCTTGTAGCGAGTGGTACGACGACAACAAGCGGCCAACTCTCACTGCACTGCATCGAGGGAGTTTTCCTTGAGTAGTTCGTGGTATTCCCACGTAATAGTAGCAACAAACAAAGCCGAAATCTCAGTATTCCATATTACCAGACTCTTCCATAATACCCTCCTCACCTCTCCAAATTAGTTAATTTATATAATTAACTAATTTGTTTCCAATGAATTTCAATTTCTGAAATTTAAAACTTACCGTAAATATATTAAGAACATAAGTGAAAAGCGTTAAATACAATACTGATACTTTCCCGAAGGCAGACACATCGGGCATCTTTTAAAATCATTAATAAAAGAAATGTAACTTTTACCACTATCGTAATCATAATACAAACAATCTCATAAAAAATTACAAAACGAATAAAATAGCTTGTGTATTTTTCAGGATCCAATGTTGTTTACCGGTCCACTTCGAAGAAACATCGATCCTTTCAATGAATATTCAGATGAAATTCTATGGAAAGCTATAGAAGAGGTTAGAAACACACGCAATTGTTTTCATTTACTCTCTTATATATCTGTTTAATTCTTTTTAGTGGCTTAATTTTATCACCATCTTTTTATTTTAAAACGTTTCAACTAAAGGTGCAATTAAAGGAAGTTATCAGTACGTTGCCTGGAGGATTGGATACACATTTGTCAGAAGGAGGACGAAATTTCAGCGTAGGAGAAAGACAGTTAATTTGTCTTGCCAGAACGATTCTTCGCCAGAATAAAATCCTGGTCATGGATGAAGCAACATCAAATATAGATAAAAAGTGAGATTACAACAAATTATAAAAATTATTTAGTTACAATTGCCTTGGAGAAGCCCTGAATACTGAGATATCGTTTGTACATTCTTTTCCGAGTTTAAAAAAATTCTCACGTTAGATTTTAATGATTTAGGTGTCCGAATGCTCAGTAGAACGGTGCCTTGTGCATACTGTATTTTTTGGAAAATATAATTAACTCTCAGATAGTATAAAATTAAAAAAAAACGCTTTATCTTTCACGCTTAACAACATAGAGGTATTTTGACATTTTTGAGTTCTGTTGTTGCAAAGACAGACATTTGGTTCATATCCTTGCGGAGTGAAAAAGTTATACGAGTTAAAAAAGAAATTTTTCTTTGAAGTCGGATTCATGATTTCTTCATTTCTTTGTTACACAAGTTGACAATTTAATTTTATTGCCAATCAGAAACCGTTTCGTTATGCGTTTTTCTTCTTTAAGCACTATAAAGTGCAATTAATCGAGTGCTCTGCATCCTTTTATCCTTTATTTATTTAGTACATACGCGTTGTTTACACGTTTCGGGCCTTATGTTGCCTCTCTTCTGCCAACTAATTTCTAAAAATCGTGTCGTGTAGTAATTATGTACATTTCCTAAAAATTAGTTCGCTGAAGAGAAGCAAGATAATGCCCGAAACGTGTAAACAACGCGTATCTACTAAATAAATAAAGGATAAAAGGATGCACAGCGTTCGATTAATTGTACTTTATAGTCCTCAANCAGCTTTATACAGATGCCAGTTGAGCATTAGAGATTACATTTATATTCTTCATGCTACAGTGGAAGCACTAGTGCTTCATATTGATGAATTTTCAATCAACAAATCTTCACATCAACGGATTCATACACAAGTGAGGAAGGACAGAGCAGAAGCCATAAAATCTGATCTTTAGGATAATGTGCCAGAAGTAGTCACCGTTCATTGGGATGGCAAATTGTTACCTGGCTTGAATGTTAGAAGTTCTAAAGAAGAGTGCCTACCGATTTTTATTTCATTTGGAGAGAGGGAACAACTGTTTGCTGTACTAATACTGGACAGTTCTTTTGGTAAACACCAAGCCAAAGCAGTTTTGAATGTGCTCTATGATTGGAATTTAAATGACAAGGTATGTAAATAATGTGTTGTGACACAACAGCATCCAACATGGGTCACTTAAATGGAGCTTGTGTGCTATTAGAACAAAAGCTAGAAAGAAAGTTGTTACTCTTCGCTTGTCACCATCATATATATGAGCTGGTTTTAAGAATTGTGTTTGAAATAAAAATCCCCCAAGTTACTAACAGCCCCAATATTCCGATATTTAAAAAATTTAAAACTTAGCAAATGTTAAAAAACGAAACTGTGATACTTGCCGATATGACAGTAATTTTGCACCTGTGATTTGGTGGTTTATCTCTTTGACTAAGAAAATGTGTTTTTCAGCACTTCGTAATTCCACTGAAATCTTTGAAAAATAAAACTATATGTGTTAATAGCCCGAGAAGTTGTGTTAGAATGGTGAACAAAGCGAATATGCACCACTTCTCTAGCACAATGTGTATGGATGTGATTGGATGCAAGTCGGCAAGGGTTCTAGTGGCCAAAATGAGCTGAAATTTATTGTGCGAGTATTTAAGGGTAAAATAAACAAAACTAGGCCATATGCATTAGGGAAAAAAAATATTCAAAAAATAAGGGACACCCTAGTGTATACTGTTCATCATATACTTACAAGAAAAAGGTTTGATTTTTACAAAAAGGTTGCAGCTCTTTGAATGAATAGTAGTCAGTCATTTAAACAAAGATCACCCCACCTTTATTCTCCAGCACTTATTTTTATTTTGCTAACTTTTTGGGACATATTAAGCATCTTCAAGCATAAAGCTAGTATTATCAGGGCTCCCAATTACCACTAAATCAAATTGTTTTAGCAAATAACACTAACAAAGTCATGTGAGCATTTATCAAATTGTAAAAGAACCATTCATGGTTTTTCATTATGCTTGTAGCAATGTTTTTTGGCAGCAATTCAAACACTTACCTATCAGTAGACTGTGTGTTAAACACCACATTCACTTGTTTTTCTTAAGCAAGTATTGACCTTTCATTGCTAAAGCACAAATTATGTCATTTTACTTGATCAGTGCTTTATTTATTCTACAGATATGAATAGCTAGCCTATGTACAGTACAGTGTTTGTTGTTAGATAACAGAACTACAAACATTGAGTCTGTTCAAATTGGTAACCATTTAAGCAAAAAAAAATATAGCACTCATTCTGTGTACCAAAAGAATTCAACAATAAACTTAATAATGTAATTTAAAGGCAATATGCTTAGTAACTACCGTTCCTTAGACCAGCGCTGTCCAACTTATCATAGCCCGCGGGCCATATTTTCTTCACCAAACATTTCGGAGGCCAAGAAGGTTGATAAATGAAAAGTCAGTTTATGTTAATTAAAAAAATATTTTATTTATACTAAAAAGAAAACTTTAAAATATTCGTAATATATTAATGAGAACATTGTGGCCATAACTGTTTAGCAACAATATCTTTTATGTCCACATAAATATTTGTTGTGGCAAGTCTAATTACAGTAGAGCCTCGATTATCCGACCCAATTGGGGACTGGGGTTGGTCGGATAATTTAAAAGTCGGATAACCGAAAAGTATGAAAAAATCCATTATTAGTGTTGTATATTATTATATCCCATGTAATTAGTATATTAGTATACTGCTGTTAACATACTTTGCGTTGAATTTCCATCGATGTTAAGTTTAACAAACATTTTTAAAAATAATAATCGTCGCTATTGTATCGTTAAAAATTAGAAAATTAAGCCTCGTTTAAATACTGGCTCCCTTTTATGGTCGAATGAGTGTTGCCAGCTAAAACACGTAAAATTAATATTAAAGCTGCCAAGACATAGCCAAATATTGCAGCGCCACATCACTAGCGGACATTTGAAATTTGCAGACTAGTATGGTCGGTTAACCGAGGTGCCGGTTGATCGGGGTTCGGATAATCGAGGCTCTAGTGTATATCTTTAAGAGTGGAATCTTTCAAACTGTTTCTCTATTTTGACTTTATATATTTCATATCGGAGTATGCACGCTCGCAGATATATGTACTTCTGAACATTGATACAATTTGAAGTCCAAAATTTCTCAATTTTGGATATTTCTCTTTATCTAAAAATTTGAATATTTCTATTCCACTTACTCCACGAGATGTAAAAAATGGGTCAGCCTGCAGGTCGCATAATTGTATGTGATATTTAAGATCCACGGAGTTGATATCAATATTAATTGGATCACAAAATAAATCAATAGACGGTTTAAGATCATCAAATTGAGAAAATCTTTCATTGAAATCTGTAATTAGCATATCCAATTTTGGTAGAAATATTTTAAAATTCGCTTCTATATTACATTCTTTCATTTCTTCATAGATCTCTTTGCAAGATTCAAAATGAAATAAATTATTCTGCTCCAAATTAAACCGTAACAATTTTAATTTGTTTCTAAATCCAGTAACATATTTATAAAGGCAACACACATTTTGATCTTGTCCTTGCAAGGATTTATTCAAAATATTTAAATAATTTGTAATGTCCGTTAAGGAAGCAAGTGAATAAATAAAATTTTTATCAACTAAATTTGCTGTCAAATTTTCATCGACGGCAATTTCTGTGAGAAAAAGATGAACTTCTTTTCGAAGTGTAAAGAATCTCCTCAAGCACTTTCCAGCACTTAACCAACGAATGTTACTATATAAAAGCAGATTTCCATACTCAGTTTCCAATTCATCCAAAAATGTTTTAAATTTTCGGTGTGTAAGAGAACGATTTCCGCCGCGAATTAAATTAGTAATTTTGCAAACCTTGTCCATTACGTCTTTTAGTTGTAGGGATAAACCACATAATGCCTCCTGATGGATAATACAGTGTAACATACGACATGTTATTCCTTCTTTTTGCAAAAGTCCCGCGAGCCCGATATTTTTGCCCGTCATAGCTCTAGCACCGTCGGTTACAATAGCAGTGCACTTGTCAAATCCGCCATACTGCTCTACTGCACAGTTTAATTGTTTGTAAATATCTTCACCTTTTGTTGTTCCGTGTAATGATTGTAATTTTAAAAGTTCTTCTGAATAATTATAGTTTTCATTTACAGTTCTTATAAAGATAAGCATTTGACTTGTATCGGAAATGTCTGTGCTTTCATCCAATGCTACCGAAAAATAGCAACAACTATTGATTAGGTTTTCTAATTTATTAGTGACATGTATGCTAATCTCGTTTACACGTCGGCTTACAGTCTGGTGAGAAAGTGATACTGTTTGAAATTTTCTTACCATTTCGTTGTCATTAAATGCTTGAGCCATTTTTATGGCACATTTTTTAATTAATTCTCCATCCAAAAATGGCTTCTTTGCCTTTACTATTTCTAAACAAACTTCAAACGATGCAGCTACAGATGCTTCTTGAAATTTTGGTTCTTGATTAAAATAATTAGTTTGACGATCCAGCTGCTTTTTCATTTTTTTCACTAGTGGTATTTTCATGTCTCGCGTGTACGAATGATACTTTTTTTCATGCATGGAAAGATAATGGCGCTTCAAGTTATATTCTTTACACACAGCTATGATTTGTAAACATTCCAAACACTGTGGTTTACCATTCTGGTTCAGAATAAATAAATAATCTATCTCCCAGCAATCTCGAAATTCTCGATTTTCGAGGTCTATTTTTCTTTTATTAGTAGCACTCATATTCAATAATTATTTTAATTAATAAATAAATATGAATTTAAGTTAATAATAATATAACACAGTCACCCCTCAACAAATTCTAGACAAGACTGCACTCGCATGATTGCATGAATCAACCAAATAGCGCAGGGTAGTGTGCGCATCACGTGCGCTAACCACAAATATAATATGTGGCGCCAACGTTGAGCCAACCATCATCAGATGTTAAACGGATTGCTGCTGTATTCAGCCAGGTTAAGTGAAGTTACGCAAACTAAATAGTACCTACTTTAAATTCAAATTAGATTTAAATTTTCACATAGTAAAATAATTTTAATATTAATAATAATAATTTAGTAACATAAATTTATTCATAGTAAAATGTACTCGGGGGCCGTAAAAATTATTTGGCGGGCCGTATACGGCCCGCGGGCCGCCAGTTGGACAGCCCTGTTATACAGTATTGTTCTTTATAGTAAAATCACATTT